ATAAAGAAGAACTCGAACACGGATATGGAATAACACAGATATATTACAAACAGGAATATATACAGAGAAGTAGAAGTGTTAGTATGAACAATCAGGTTTAGTAGAGAGAACAATGTATTCTCGACCAGTATCACTATTCCAATATCGTGCAGTAATTGTCTGAACGCGACTCTGTTTCGGACTGCCTCTGACTCGACTCTTGACTCGACTTGAACTACTGACTGACTCCTTGCCTACTCCTGAGGCGCAGTAAGTATAATAGTCCATTATTATTATTATGGGTACGATCCCATAACAATCAGTTATAACAAATTTAGTATAAGAGAAATTGAAAATAGAATAAGTTTTGCTAGAGGTTGTTTCGTCCAACGCCACAAGCTTCTACAAGATTAACCTAAGAATGCGAGTCATATTCTTAAATAGCCTCGTCAGATCGAGACTCACATATGAATGTTATGGATGGTGCCAAACTCGTTCAGAAATATCTAAAATGCCGCTTTCTTTGATTGATGGTCAAAAATGTCTTCGAGCGAGTGAAGCGTGTAAAGCGTGAATCGGTGTTACAGAATCACAAAGAACTGAACCAAATAGCATAAACTACATCATTTGAGGACTTTCAGCAGCTGAAACACCTAAAATGCGTAGCACATGTCACTCAAAGAGGGAATAATGACACAATCAAGATGCTGGCGCCCCACTCTGCCCTAAACGAAAGGCTAGGAAGGAAACCCTCAACAGTACTTGAAATAGCAGTCATCATCATCATCATCCTGCGGCCTCAGCCGAGATTGAACTCACTACACCTCTCCAGTATTCCCTATCTGTCATAGCACCTAAAAGATCTTCCTTGTGGATCATTGTGTCTCGTTTTATCCTATCTGGAAAGGTTAACTTGCGTGATCGTTTGTCAGATAATGGGTGCCTCCAGAGTACAAATGATGACACAAGTTCATCTATGGCACGTATACAATGCCCGGCGAACTGGATACGTCTTTTGCAAACTAAGGTTGATACTCTCAGCAAGTCTCCATATATCATTTCTAGAGTTGGGTGGTTCGCCATGAGAGATTAAGCACTCTTCTTAAAAGACGTGTATAACATCCATCTAAAGGGCGCTGTTGTTTTGCTGAGAGAGTCAAAGTTTCAGAGCCATAGAGTAAGATTGGCTCAATAAGTACGCGGAAAAGTTGGATTTTGAATTGACGAGCAAGATTGGATTTCCAGATCTTATCCATTTTGTTACAAGCAGTCCATGCTATACCTTTTCTAATGTTAAAATCTTTCTCAGAGTTCTTGATGTGTGATCCTAGATACTTATAGTCTTCGACACATTTGAGGATGTTGTCTGAGAGTGTTTTGATCTCATAATTGTTGCAAATGTTAATTGGCATACACTCAGTTTTGGTTTCATTTAGGTGAAGACCTGCACAGTTAGATGCTGATTCAAGAAATAGAAGTAACCGCAACTGGATTTGAGAAATCTATTTTACTGAAAACATTTGTAGGGGAAAGATTTTATAAATTTCAACCGACTGCAATTCTAAATGGATGACGAATGCTTCCTTATAGAGAAACAGCTATTACAATTACCATTAGACAAAAGACCTCTTTTACGAAGGAGAATATCTTTAGCGTCTTTTCGGCCCGCTGTCGACTGAGCATTTTTTTGCTTTTTGGTGCCACCAGTCTTCTTTCATTTGTCTAAGATTTCGTTGAATTATTGATTCCAAGGCTTTGTGATTAAAGTTCTTTGGTAAGCTGGAGGCTGAAATTCTAAGTTTTGGTCGAATTGGGTCGAGCATATGAATTGGTTTAATTTGTCTGACGTAAAGCCATATATTTCGTGGTATGACATAAATATAGCCTCGGTTTAGGATCGTACTCATTAAAGTAGAAACGGGAATACACATGCTCAAGCATACACATACATGCACGCGCACACATATGCAAATATACATATACAAATATACACACGCAAACCTACACATAAAACATCCATCTGCATAAACAGATCAAGAAGGAAATTAGGAAAAATAACAAAAGGAGCGCTCTAATACGCAATCGAACTTAATTTCCTCTTTATCGTCTGCTCTATTCAATTCCCGTCTTGTATCCAGACAATAAAACTTAACTCGGAAAACAGATGCCAATGTCGGATACTGAATTCTTGCTTTGTTGACGTAATTATGGACGTGGTAGTCTGAAAGTGAATCGCTTAAACGCCTCTAAATCCGTCTTTACAGTTCAGACGGAGATTGTCCTGGCGTTCCTTTGTTATCGGCTGTTTTTCCCGATTCAACTGGAAACGTGTAGCCAGCTTAGAACCTATGTTTGTCCTATGTGTTGTCTGTCAGGGCTTATTTCGTAACGTAATTTGATCTTGAACTAATCGCACTGGCGTAAGCAGTGATGGGTCGAACTCTAACATAAGACCGCGCACACAGACCAGTAATTCTATAACTGGGGATTTCAACGAACGCATCCCACTCAGTCTAACTCTGTGAAAGTATAATGCTGAGTAATCCTCTTAAATTTTGCCATTTTCATGATTGCTATAATTTTATGACTTGCTGATTTTTATTACAATATTCCTCGTCGAGGTGCACTTCAACCGTGAGAGCAGAGAGAAAACAGAAATTATGAGCAAGACTTAAATTCGCATCTCGCACCACTTGAACCTGTCTTTGATGACCTTAATTTTTTTTCGCTTACAAATATTTGCAATTTAAGGTTAGCGGAAAAATTGTAGTTTTTCTTTTACGATTCTCTTTGGAACATAATAATGGTTAGATTATGTGAAAAATAGTAAGCAACCTTTAACAAAAAGCTGCCATACCGAGATAGGCAGGATTGAAGGAAAAAAATAATCCTGTCGAAGCCTGTATTTCATACAGAAAAGTGCCAAGTCAGAATAGAATTAATCACAAACTAAAAATATTCATTATAATTTTGCTATTAATTTGACTCTATTTTATTGATATTGTGATCAAAACAACCATAGTATAACGAAGTATAACTATTAATAAAAATAATAATAATAGTAATAATACATTTAAAGAAAACCTACATGCAGTTTACTGCATTGAACAAAAATATTTTCCCCCATACTGTATTGGCGTGAGTTAAAACTGACGCCTTTTTTAAATTTCCATACTAGACTAACTTGGACCCGTTGGGTCACTGACGATTCAGTTTATAAAAGATTGAAGTTGATTTCAACATTCCACTGAAATGAAATTTAATTTTATTATGACTCAGTTAAATATTTCAATTCGTTCGTGTCATCATTGCTCGCGTTTATAAATTCATGTTTAATGTTTTTACTGATTGTTTACAGCTTTTAGTAGGAATAGAACTTCCGGTATAAACTTGAAGTTTAATTCAGATTAACTTAAAAATATTTTTTTAATATGCCAAAAAATATTTTAAAATTATATTCACTTGAAAATATTTCTTAATATGCCAGAAAATATTTTTAAAATATTTAATATATTGTTTGTTTAAATAAAACTGAAATATCTTATTATAATTGTGCTTGTTCCTTCCTTAGTTAGTTACTTAGTCCGTTACACTCTTTAGTATTGATATATATTCGGCGTCTCACTAGCGACAATTTTCCCAGAAACACCCTCACCCAGTCTATCGCACACTTGCCGTCAACAAATGCCGACGATTAGTCAACCTACTGCCGTGTTAAAAAAATGCATTTCTGCGATATTTAAAACTTAAAGTAAGTAATATTTGTTTCAAATCAGATTAATTGAACTTTAAATCAGCTTATATTCCTCAAATAAGGTATATTTTATTTTTAAAAGATTTTTAATAAAAAGAATTACGTTGTGTTGAAAGAATTCTAAATATGGCTAGAATTGGCGATTTTTAGCGATTCTAATCAATTTAAATTCATTTTGAAATACAGCAAAGTAATTTCCTTAGTGGAAAAACTAAAATAAAAGCTGCAAGAAAGATCTTTTATTTATAAAAATTTATTTCGAAACTTAGATATCAATTTATTTTGGAGGCATCTAACGATCTATAATTCTGAAAGTGAAAAATTTACTGAAATATGTTGGAAAATACGAAATTTACGGAAAATGGTCACACATTATATAAATAAAAAGGTGTTTGTTTTAACCGATATGGGTAAAAATATTTTTGTTCATTTATATTTTGAAAAGTTTTTTCATAAAGAATGACAAATGACTAAAAATTACGCTAAAATTAGCGTTTTTAGCGATTAAAAAACCCTTCCAGTCAATTTAAATTAGTTTTGAAATACAGAAAAAGTATTTTGCTTATTGGAAATATTACATTTAATCGACTAGCTTGAAATTAAAACTAAAATAAAAGCTTCAAGAGTGGCTGCCCGAAAATGTTTCTGATCTTTTTATCTGTGGCCGCCTTGCTTGACTGAACTGAATCGCCTTGACTACAACATCAATGAGAGAAGACATTGAAACCGATCTGGCGAGCCGAAAACCCACCCTAAAAAAGAAACTGAGATTTTGTATGCCCTCGTCTTGTCGATTCTCCTATATGTATGGAATCTAAAAGTAGGACACCAAAGGCGGTACCATGTGCTGAGATGTCTGAGATTTGCTACACTGACCCGCCACGAATGAAGAGGAGCGAGTCATCAGGTAAATGGCTGGAAAGACGTGTTGACCTCTGTAAAGGAGAGGAAGCTGAAGTGATATAAGGCCACGTAACCAAATCACAAGATCTCTCTAAGGTCACTCTATAAGGAGCGGTACAAAGAGGAAAGGAAAAAAAGGGTCGGACAACGTCGTTGAATGGAACGGCGAAAGTTTTGCTGAGACACAGACGCTGGCCAATGGCCGTATAAAGCAGAATCCCCTTGTTAAACAAGACACCGTGTAGCGTCCCTACGGCCCTAGCGGGTTATGGGACAGGAAGGAAGGAAGGAAAGAAGGAAGGAAGCCCACAGATTTGCTTAGTATTGTCTAGTCGTATAACCCTGTTCCGATGCAGCTTTAGCTTACGGCAACATCACGTTGAAACACCGGTTTTCGTACGATCAGCTAAGTTAAGCAACGTCGAGACTGGTCATTACCTAGATGAGTGACTGTTTGGGAATACCAGGTGCTGTAAATTTGAATGTGCAGGCGGTGTAAGTGATAATGGCAGGGAAATGTTAATTTGGAGAGCCGAATTGCAATTTCCGTTGGGTTCGTTATATTCCACATCTTCTCCTCCAGATATGGGTTAATTAGTTATATCTGTATCACTAAACCATTCTAAAATCTAAAAATATTTTCTAGCTTTGAATAACCTGCAAAATCTTGATAAGTCGTAGAAAACGAACCATCCAATGTAGATTTAATTTTTAGTTTATATCCGAATTTAACCAATTGTTTTTCTTTACTGTAATAATTTCAGGTTACGAAACGGTCAGTCACACTATCAAGTGAAATAATTATTGTTTGACAACGCACTATATAGAAAACATATTTTTAGACAAATTATTTAGTAAACGACTTTCTTCTTACTTCTTCTATATGCCGTGTCTCTCGTACATGATCATGACTCTCCACAACTTCCTATCTCTTATTTTTATCTTTTCAACATAATTCTCAGCCCCTGTTATGAAACTATTTTCACAAGATTGTTAGATAGCTTAATCTCTGTTTTCCTCAGTTTGTTTTGCCTTCAATATGTTCTGTAAGTGTCAAATTCTCCAAGCCTTCTCTTCTCATTATGTGCTGTACAAATTTCTCTTACTGATTCTAAGTATAAGCGTTCTTTTCCTTAAAAACTCGTTACTCACATGTGCAGGCCATAGTATTCTCAGCATCCGTCTGTAGCGCAGTAAAAGAAAGAAAGAAAGAAAGAAAGAAGAATAAGAAAGAAGCAATGGATAGAAACAGAAAAAACTAGTTTTTTTATCCGTGGCATCAATCATTAATGAGTGCTCCAGTAGCAGACTACAGGAAGACAAGTAAATAGTTACATAAGTTTGATTGATGCCGGCATAGCATGTTTCATTCGAAAGAGTCTACGTGTGATTTACTCAAAGAAATCTTTAGTCTGCTGCCCGGTGTACATCATGCTGAACCTCAAGCTGTGCAGCACGAAACATGGCTTCCTTTACATAATGCCAGGACAAGAAACACACTACTTTATTTGAATCTCTTCTTTCTTATAATCCGGCAGACATTGTAAATTTCGATAACGTCACTGACTCACACACACACACACACACACACACACACACACACACACACACACACACACACACACACTCTCTCTCTCTCTCTCTCTCTCTCTCTTTCACTCTCTTATGTGTACACACACATACATACACTCCCAAACATAGTGTGTTACTAAGCATAGCCGAGAGTATGGGGCACCCAGTTAGGATCGAACTCACTTTCCAGTCATAACTGACCCATCGAGACAACCATTACACCACGTCGAATTACTCAATACACACACGCGCGCGCAGCCACACACACACACACGCGCGCAGTACACACACACACACACACACACACACACACATATATATATATATATATGTGTGTGTGTGTGTGTGTGAAAAGTGTATATAAATATAAATAAATATATATATGTATAATTATTTATATATTATATGTATGGTACTTATTAGAAAGCGCTCAATATCAGAGATAAAGCTAACATATTTGGTTGGATAGATGTGAGTTTGTGACCCTGGGTTTCATGCTTTAGCGATCGTCAGACAAACTAAGGGTCACAAACTCACATCTATCCAACCAAATATATATATATATATATATATATATATATATATATATATATATATATATATATACATGCACAGTGAATAGCGGCTCGGATTGAGGAATCGGAGAACCGAGTTTGAATTCCAATCGAATCCATTACATTTACTTATAATATCTAATGCTAATATCCTTGGATTAGGTATGAATCCCTCCAGTTATGGTTAAATAGCAGAACAGTTGGATGGCAACCGGTCTAAGAGAAGGAAAAAGCCTGTGGAGGGTTGTTTGGGGACCTTGTGGCACATAGTGTACCAAGACTCTGTATTCGGCTCTTCAAAAAGTCGGTTCGTAGGAACTGAGCTACTTGAAAAAATTTTTTTGAATTATATGGGTGGACTCTCCCATCGAAAACGATGGAGAGTCCACCATATATATATATATATATATATACTTAAGAACACCTATCACGCTACCCAGGTTTCCATCGTTAAGTCTCCTCGGGTAGGATGAAAGATTTTAGTTTGCTCCACCACCTTTATATACGAACACCGTTGGGAAGTGGAAAAAATTTAAATTGATATATATATATATATATATATATATATATATATATATATATATATATATTATACTTTATTTTTCATATTTTTGCTACACGGGTGTCAGCCTAGTGACCGCCATCAGGCGGAGAATGGTTATTTCCACATATCATTCAAAGCAATTATTTTTTTTCTTTATGTTTTCCTATGTTTAACCATTGTCCTTTCTGTGTTGTAATAATCCAAATTCGTCTTGGACCGGTGGAGAAAATGTTCCTTTGCTTAAAGGGTAATAAAACAATTAGGATTGGTCAGTGGAAGGTGGAAGGAAGGAGGTCTTTGTTCTTATTTTTTTATGACCTCTGTATCTTTTTAAACTTGCGTCTGTTTTTTTCCGCCATAGCGAAAAAGATAACGGAGAGAAAAAGAATAAGAAAAAGAATATAGATGGATTTGGCTAGATTGAAAAAAATATATTTCAAAAATATTCTTTCGAAAATATTTTTTTTTTAAATTTTGAAACTACCTGCGTCTCTCGTTTTGTGCGCATGTGTAGACGTGGCAACATCAGCAAAGGCCAATCCGATGAAAATGAATTTTCGCCCGGGACGCAGAGATAAAAAAAAAAAATTGTTAAATATTCTTCTCTTGCTGATAGATATTTTTTTTTCTTTTTACTCCTGCGTCAGTGGAGACTTCTGGGGTTATTGGCCCTCGTTCGATGGCGTTCCTTCGGAGGATTGGCGGGATGGTGTCTTGATTAAGGGATGAACCTCGCGAAAGGAAGTGGCTCTTGCAGCATGTCTCGCTGGCGATGGTGCGAGGTAATACTTTCTCCATCATTGTTTAGTTCGTTTTCTCCGTTTTATCAGCCCTTTGTAGGTTATTTAAAGCCATGAAATATTTTTAGATTGTAAGAATTCTTTTGGAGATAAATGATTTAGTGATACAAGTCTTACTAATTAACCTATAACAGATGAGAGAAGATGTGAGTTCCTACTTTTCCAAAAGGTCTTTTTGCGTGTAAGTGAATATAACGAACCCAACTGGAATTGAAACTCGGCTCTCCGATTAACAATACCGAGCCATTATCAATTACACGACCTGCACATCCAAGTTTACAGCACCTGGTATTACACAAGGTGGTCCCCATCTACTGACTAGGCTCGACGTTGCTTAACTTCGATGATCGTACGGCAAACCGGTGTTTCAACGTGGTGTGGCCGTAAGCAGATAGATAGATAGATAGATAGATAGATAGATAGATAGATAGATAGATAGATAGATAGATAGATAGATAGTGAAGAGACTGAGATAGATAGATAGATAGATAGATAGATAGATAGATAGATAGATAGATAGTGAAGAGACTGAGATAGATAGATAGATAGATAGATAGATAGATAGATAGATAGATAGATAGTGAAGAGACTGAGATAGATAGATAGATAGATAGTGAAGAGACTTAGATAGATAGATAGATAGATAGATAGATAGATAGATAGATAGATAGATAGATAGATAGATAGATACGTCTTTATGTGCCCGTACACCAGTGGCCGCCATCACCGAATAAACAAGCTGATAAAATAACCGTTAATCATTTCTAAATTCATTATCAGTATGTCGTCATTATCCAAATCACGGTCTCAAATGCAAGCACACAAACATTTGCACAAAGGAGAGAATATTTGAAGAAAGGAAAGCACAAACTTTCCTATTTTCGCTCGCTACAAAAGCAAAATGGAAAAAAAAAAGAAAGCTATTCATTCCCCCCCCCTTCTTGCTTTCGTCCCAAATTCGATTTTCTTATCGCAAGCGTATTGAAATCCGTAAACGAACAAACAGTTTAGGCGCCGCAATAGCTTCCCAGGATCTTCTCCAGTGTTTTTCACGCAGGTCCGGCGGGATAAAAAAAAAAAAGAAGTCTGGTTGGAATGTTTAAATCTATCAGCGGCTAGGACGTTCGTCATAAGGGAGAAGACGGGTAGAGGCACCACGCACAAGAAGCCGTGTAAACTTTAGAGATAGGCTTAAAAAGGAGAACATTTCCAAGAAGAAAAAACACAGTTTCACACGTACTCATCGATATTAGCAGAGCGGTATATTTTAGGCGTTCGCCGTAAATCGATAGTTAAGAAGTTCGTATCGCAGGTTCCTGCTAATGAGTTTGGTATTCCCTGGAAACCCCACTAGCGTGCTTTTGTACCAAACAAAGTTTCAGCAAGCAGAAGTATTGATATATATTATGAATAGTATAATGATCCGATTTCTGTTTACATGTGTGGTTGTTACTGCGACATAGCAAAAACGGCACATTGAAGCGAGATCTTTATTAGGGCAATATCGTTAAAATGCTCAAACGTGGAGAATAAAGCAATTTTCAATTAAATTTGAAACTTAATAATATTGGGTGATATTTGTTTCCGCTCACCCCGATAATAAAGGTTCTGTAAAGCGATTATCTCCCTTTCGTGGAGATAAATCACATGAATCACATGACGGCCGCTTAGTGACGTCACTTCCTATAGTGACAAAAGTGGTCAGTCAGTAAGCTTATTGGTGTCAAGATACACGTGTTTGTTCTGTCTAATGTTACAGCTTACAAATCCATGGTGCCATTTCCTTTTAGGAATGTACCCTCTCCAGATATAGAAAGAACCTCCGGCTCACAGTCCTCAATTTGGGAAAAACCCAAGAGTCGCCGTTTCCCCTTCGTAGATGAATCCGGTCGGTTTGCATCTATCATCTTAAACATGGTTTCTCCAGAAACACAGAAGAATCTCTATTATATGCAAGACCATTCTTTCTTTGTTTCTCCTTACAATCTGCTTGCCGTGTAGATATA